AAACATAATATCCCTACAGTTTTAGCCTCTGTTTTAGTCTGAGCAGACTTTTTCCTGGCAGTGAAGCTAAATGAAATACAAGATCTGAAACAAAACTGGACAACTGAAGAATGCAAGCTAGCAGTTTCCTTACATACTAGGAAGAAAACAGTTACAAAACTGATAGCTTGCATATTAAAAGCAATCTGTAGCTCCAAAAACACAGAACTCTGTGCAACATTTACTTAGCAGAAAAGCATGCCTCATTTACAACTGACTGTGCTGGAAAGCAAAGCAAATTAGTCTACAGTGATAACCATGAATCCCAAGGCCATGTTCTGTATGAGAGCAATCATCCAGAGACATAGAAGCTAGCTGTCTTTCAGCAGTAAGGAGACAGCAAATATTTATTACCCACTGGAAGATGTCAGAACAAGAAACACACAACCAAAGAATAAAGCCAAAAGTATTCAAGCTATGCATCTCAGGAACTTGGAGTAATTAAGAAAGAAAAGAGAGCTTCAAGATAAGCTTTCTTAGAGTCTATCAAAAAACTGCATGGACTTATTTAGCATGTTAAGCAAGGGGCTTTGGTAACAAAATACAATGCTTAATATGCAGAAGAAGAAATTTTACCTTGTTCTTCACTCCCTTCTTTACATAGGCTAGAGCTCTGGCCAAGACTTAAACTGATATCATCAGAGGTCTTGGCAGTGTCAGTATCTCCTGTGAATTTTAAGAAAAAAAAGAGTACTAGAGCTTCAAGTATTAACAAATACACCTACATTGCAGATTTCTCAGCTGTCACGAAAACATGTTGCTTTTATTGCTTCATCTGAAGTTAAATAATAATTACAAGTAACACCAGATTTATCTTTTAGAGTTAAGTATTGTCAATTTCTTTTATTTTGTATATAAAAGTTTTCATACAACTACACAAATCTTCCATGAAGAACTGGAAAAGCATCTTACACAGAATTCAGCAGAAATGAACACATTTATTTTTCTTAAATATACATCTATTTTAAAATTCCTTTTTTCATGGCTGCCAGTAGAAATGAGGGGTAGATACTAACTAAGTATTTGTAAAGATAAAAAAAGGGAAGGAAAAAGCAGGAAGGTGACAAAAATTAACATCTCATTTTCTTTTCTCTTATGGGCCTAAAAAATTTACAAGTTAACAGCTTTGCTTATTGAAATTAATTAACTTTTCATCTCAGATGAGTACTCAAGAGCTGTCCTGGACAATACTCTTGCTAGATGTTAAGCAACTAGAAATAATGAAGTCACTGTAATACAATACCAGAACAGTGACTGGTTCCACATAACTCAAAATAGCAGAGAAAATGTCAACCTAAACCAACCCCTTGGCTCTGCATTTACAAGCAAAAGAAAAACCTGTTGTTACATGGAATACAGAGCCCAGGCTACAGAATATTCTCTCCTAGTGTTTCAGGCACAATTTGCAACTCCAAGGAAGATTTCTTCCAGGTAGCAAATGCTGTACCTAGCTCACAAAAACAATTAACAAGGTAGACACTATATGGAAACAACAACAACAACAACAACAACAACAACAAAAAAGTGACTTGAAGTGCTACCACAAGGTAATTTTGAGAAGTAGCCAAAAATCTCACCTTTGATGGTTGCTGCTGTTCCCAGACGAGATAACCCAGATCCAACCTAGGAAAAGAGAATTATGTGAACAGCTGTAAACTCTCAGGAATCACCCAAACGTCGTTTCCCATTACTGCAGTGCACACATTTCCCTGTACACCCAGGAGAGATTTTTCAAAGGCACAAAAGGCTCCAAAAGTACACTGCCATAAAATCCTGACTCAGAATGTTTCCACTGCAAACAGAGATGACAAGGCATCTAATTAAGCAGCCAACTATGTCTCTGCATTATTCTATTTTATAGTCAATGTCCTTTGAGATTTTACTATACCAATTTTAAAAGCAGTTTTTAAGCTAAGAATTTTCCTTGAAAATACCTACTGAAGAAACAAACTACTAGTGTGGCAGTACACTAATAACTGCTGCTGTAAAGTCGAATGTTTAACGGCTGCCTAACACACTTGAATAACACACCATGTTAATATAAAACTTCAGTGTTCAACATAGTAAACACCAAGCAAAATCCAGAAACTGCTCCCAATGGAAAACAGGTGTATTTTTACCAGGGTTAGTTTTCAGGGCTGAGAGTTGATCCAATGAGCAGGTAACCACAAGAACCTAAGTGTTGGTACATGGAAAAGTGCAGCAGCACGAACAGGGGATATGGCAGAGTGATCCCTGCTGGCAGCTGAATAAACCTGAATCAATGTAACCTAATCATTTCACTGTATCTTATTCCCCCTTCTACTTCCTGCAAACACAATTTTTCTTTTGAAGACAAGTACACAAATTACAGTTACCTCAAAGCAAGTAAAATGGTTAGTGTTAGGCTGTAGTATTCCTTGATATACTCTTGGATATGAGCTCCAATCTCATTCCAATTTTATAGTATCTGCTTTTCAGCCTTGTTCACAGGCAAACCAGCAGGCACATACCTCCTGGCCATTTATGTTTGCAGCCTGCCTTCCTACCTACGTCCTGTAATCTGTAGCAGATTATTTAGCAGAGGTGCTAAAGAGAGTTTAGTCTTTCCTTCAAAAAAATTTCCATAATCACCTCTCTCAAAGAACTTGGAATAGCATACAAAAATGTATGTGTCAAATAATTAAACCATTCAGAAATAAGAGGACAAGAGCACTTAAAGGCAAAACCTGAACCCAGAACACAAAAAGGATGGTAATTTGACTTTACTGTATACTTACTGGAATGCTATTTTACAAAGCTTTCTAGTTCAAATGACTATGGGAAAAAAAGAAGCATAATTCTACTAATGCTTCTGTGTAAGGACAGCAAGTTACTACAGAGTAATGACTTTACTACATGTAACAAAAGAGCAGCCAGAGTTTGGTTAATGCATTTTCTTCACTACACTGTCCATGCATGCTTTTACTTAGTCATTTTTCCATGTTTCAACTTTTTTCCCTTCAGTAACGTGCCTTCTTTGAATGCTGTAGCTGAATGCAAATGCATCAGCGTGGGAAAGCTATTTCACACAAAAAATAAACAGATCTCTGATGCTTACTGTTCACATACCCTTGTGATGCTGCAAATTCACTCACAGGGGACTAGGAAAAACTAATTTTATCAGCATACACACATTTCAAACACTATACTTCCTTTCACAGTAGTTTTAGCTGCGTTATAGGGTGAACATTAAAGCACACAGGGAAGAACACAGAACTTCTTCACATGCTTTAACATTGAAACTGTTATGTTTGGAGTAGGTTCATTTCTAAAGACCAGTCAAAGAGACATTCCCCAGCCTAGTTCTGTCTTCCTGCATGGACCATCATTTCTCACTCCTTGAACACTACCAAATACCTGCTCTCTTCAAAGAAGAAAATCTCTTAAGACTATCTGTGCTGTGCAACGAAGCATCATTCAGACTGAACACCAGTATTAGCATAACACTGCACTACTTTATATACTGCTTGCTCAGAGAGCTAATTAGGAGGACTCAATATTGTACCACCACACCAAGAACTTCCATGCAATTCAAAAATAGCTTCTGTATCTTTAATATGGTACTGCCTTGCTCATTGTCAACACAGCCATAAGTCTGGCCAGTCAGTCTGCTTGTCCTCATCAAGAATTGGTAAAATAAAGATATCAGGACTGGCTAAACGTCACAAGCCAAACAGAAGGAACAGCACTTGCAGCGCTATGGAAGTTGAATGCATCAATCTAGCAGCCATAGTAAGGACACAGAACAACTTCCCCAGTGAAATTAAGGCTACTAGAGCATAAGGAAGTTGCTTCAAAACTAATAACGCCAAGTTCTTCAGCACTTCCATCTAGTCCACAGCAGCCCTTATTTGTTGTTTTCTTCCCACCCTTGCCAAAGTGGCAAAACAGTGAAGATTTTGCAGAGGTCATCCAAAAATAAACAGCTTTAGTCTTTCTATTTCTATGAATTTATCTTGCTTTGGACTTCAACAAATTAACATATTTGACTGCAGAGCCTGAACTGTCAGAAATAATAACTTGCAGAAAGCCATTTAGCACTGCAAGAGATAATCAGCTGCAGATACATTCTGAGAAGACTTAACAGAAGCCTCTTCAAATTCAGCACAACTGAAGTTTACCAATTAAGTATCTAAACAACAGGTCAAACAAAAGTAAGTGAGGAAAGAACATAAGGATGGAGTTACAGCTTGAGCCATCTAATGGTTCACTGATAGCAAAAGGAAAAGACAAGCCCACCACAGGGGACTCAGTACTAATCTGACCATGCTCTGAGCCATTATGATTTACAAAATCAGAAGACAGCTTAGTGAGCAAAAGGGGATACTTTCTGATGGGACAGTAGGTTGCATTAAAAAAATCCATCCATTCCTCAAATGAGGAACAGGATGAGCAACAGCTATGCAGCTGCAAGAGTGCAATAAACACCCCAGTAAAGCAGTTCAGAAATACAGAGAAGTAAGCGGTTTACCCTAATTAATAATTTTCCTAATAACTTTTCAAAAAGGTAAAACAGCAAGAAAAATAAAAATCAGCAAAAATTCCTCCACAGATTGCAAAGCCAGCAGGACTAAAGCAACAACTGCAAGCAGCTTTAATTCTTACCTGGTTAGGATCTATCCCAGCATAAGAATTTCGTGAGCTACAGCCAACAGGGGGAGTTGCCTCTCGTATGAACTCTGACATCTCAATCCCTCCACCAGGGTCACTGAGAGAAACAGAAGACAAAACAAAAACCCAAACAACATTAACCTATCAGTTAAACAGAAGTTTGTCTGTCTACACTGAGGGCAGGTTCCAAACAATTTTTCTCTTTTCAAATATCAGGGGCTCCAAAGCAAGCCAGTACCTCAGATGAATGCAGCGTGTCTGGCCCAGGAAGCTCAGTCAGAGCTGGAGCACCCTATACATTGTCACAGAAGCTGCTGCCTTGAAGTCCACTCTCACCAGCCAACACAAACCACGAAGACTTAGAAGCTACAAGGCATTCTGAAATGCTGACATATTAAATTCTCTCTATGCATACACATATGTAACTTTCAGCTCATCTGTTCAACTATAATACCAATTAGTTTGAAAAGTACTAAATAGAACTCTTTCAAAGAGCAGAAAAAGGACTCCCACTCTTTTCCTTAGACTGGATGTAGGAGCAAAAGTAATGATGGGTTAAGCCAGAAAGCCACACAGTGTCAGTTAAAGTTATTGGAAATACCACGTCCCTGTATGTCTCAAGTGGTTTGTATCTCTCCCAGAGATGCAAACCACTTCAGAAAATAACTTCCCTTCAGATAATTCACATACCCTACCAAGAAATATTTTGAGGTACAATATACATATTATGTCCTAGTGATCTCACCCTTCCAGGATTAATAAGTGTTGATTTGAAATTATTTTCTAAATCAACATCATCAAATGGCAATTCAACAGTTCAGCTTGTCAGAGGCAGGTATCTATGAAACAAAAACAAGTGGGTCTGTCCACGAGAACAACAGGGTATGAAATGAGTTGGGGACTACAACTCAGAGGTCCAACCTAGTACCGCTTGTTAACTGAAGGAGAAGCTGAGGCATCCTTTGTTTTCTCCCAATACAGTCCTCTTCAAACCACTTTGATACAGGAGACTTCTGAAGAGAAGTAGCAGCAGCATAATTTGACAACCCACTCTGCTCCTTCCCAAAGATAAACAACAGCCTCCCAACGATCATGGAGCCAGAGCTGTGGCAAGCCCACTTACACAATCTTGGTGGAGAAAGAACGTACGCAGACCTCTCCTCCAGGGGGACTACAGAAAAATGAAGCCACTCTGGAGAACAGGACAGAAATGGACAGAAGCACTGCAAGACTTATTTAATAAAATCTAGTCTCATAGAAAAAAAGTCTCATGCAGTAAGAGCAACACCTAGTAATTTTTTTTAATATATGGACATCTATCTAGGATATTCTAAACCTGCCAGTAGACTGAAGGACCTGAAACACCCCTTGTTCTGCAGCACGATGTTTCAAGCTCCTGTCATCTCAGAGAGGCATAAAGGTACAACCTCTGGAACCATTCTAGGTCATACAAGAGGCCCCTGAACCTTCCAACATCAAAGAGATGACAAAAAAATAGTTCGAAATTAAGAATATATTACTTCAGTAAGACACAACCAGCCATGAGTTAGCAGAACAATCACAGTCTGACTCCAGCCAACTGCAGAAAGCTGTGAAAAGCCACCATTTTGGTACAGGTCAGCAGTGAGATATACACGTGCTTTTTCTTATTGAAGGTTACAGCACCCTCTCTGGCCTGATATTATCAGGTATGTTAAGGTGGAACCAGGTAAAGAAAAACACCCAAAAGTCACAGAATGCAGCTTCAACAACTTCCAGCAGCTTGAGCCAAAGTATTCCTTCCGTAAGCATTTTAAGAACACATAAGGACACAGCATGAAATTAAAAACTAAACTGAACAATGCTCACTTAGCATTCAAGTTCAGCATATATTATGATGAATGAAGATGTAACAAAGGACACCTTTCACAAAAAGATGAAATTTCTTTCCTGTTTGAATAATTCATTGAGAAACACTGCATGCCATTAAAGTGTGTCCTATGAAGTAGAAAAGTCAGTCACTGAGAATAAGCTCAGAACTGGGCACATCAGCCAGGGTGGGAGAAGGAGATGAGGAGATGAGAAAGTGAACCGGCAGATATCAGCATAAGCAACACCACCACCACTCTACTCACAGCTGCACAGCCTGTGACAGCACACCTAAACTAAGGATTTAACAAAATCTAGCAACAACCACCCACAAACGAAGCCTGCAGGAAGTTCAGATTTCTAGGATTAATCACTCTATGCCTAAGGATCTGGTCTACAACAGCACGCAGAATCCTTTAGGACCCATTTTCTGCTAGTGTTGTGACCATTCCTTCCTGCTATTAAGTTCTACAATGGGTTCCTTACAGTTTGCTGACTTCACACCTTAGAGCAAGTGCTACACTAGCCAGTTTGCAAGCAAAAAACCCAGAAGTTGCTACACAAATTAAGAAGAATGTAAATTATGTCCAGCTACCTGCAACAGAGGCTGCTGTACAAGAGGTATTCAGAGACTACATAAAAAAATTAAAACTAGTATTTCTAATTATTATTAAGTGTCCTATTTAAAATTACTTTCTTCAGCTACATTATAGAGGGTCAGAGACTAACCAAAAGTCTGCAAATGCTGTAAGCCCATATGAATCCCAAAGTTTCAAATGTGACTTAGGCTGACCAAATAACGTCTGACATTCAGGCTAGAGCTTCCAGAGAGAATTTGGAATAAGTTTCATTTCCAGACAGAACAGAGGACAAGTTTTACTCTTTTCTTTTGAACATCTTCTATCTTTAATTTCCAACTAAAATGGCAGCATTAGTGAGGAGGCTGCTCTCAAAACACAGGCCCACCACAGCATGTACTGCAAATGCTAGACCATGACAGTGACAGGTGTTAAGAGAAGTTTTCTTCAAAGCTTGAATCATTAATTATAGTTAAAAAAAAAAAAGCAAAACAACTCCAAGCTCACCAATGGGTCTGCCAGCCACCAAAAACTGCAAGAAGAAATTGCTAAGGTAGGGCAACACTTTTATTATTTTTTTATATTATAGGGTTTACTTTTTTTATTTTTATTCCTCTTGCTTATACTTAAGTAGACCATAACCCAAAGATGCAACATTCTCCAACTCTGTTTTATTTATAGGAGAAGTACACATGAAATTCATGTAGCATCATGACTGCAGCTCCTCTATACTGATGGAGATCAGGGACAGCAGTGTCACCAGGTTAATACTTTGAACCACTGCAGTCACACCAGAAAGTAGTCATATTCACATCTCCAAAAGCAAGACCAAGTTAAGTGGTTTAAGGTAACTATGTGGGTCCACTGATGGAAAACAAATTATGCTTGCACTGTTCCTTCTGCCTTTTATATGAGATTACAAGCCTGTACCCCCATTAGTTTTCACGAGGCCTCACAGAAGCATTACTAACACCACCCCCTAAGTATGAAAGCAGCAACTGCAGAAGCTACAGATGACAACTCACACTCCTCTCCCCAAATTAAGACCAACTTCTTTCAAAAATATTGACTAGAAAATTTCAGCTTTATAGAGGATGAAGAAAAAATAAGGCATTTCTTAGGAAACAGTAAAGTGTTCTTCACTTAAGCACACCAAACCAATGAAAATATTAAAAATCCTCAGAGTTTGATCCTAGTCACAAACCAATCTGAACCAAAGATAAATGAGCAGTTCACATGAACCTCCAAGTGACAGCCCATCATCTTCATCAGGTACTTGAAAGCACCACTTTGCAGATAAGCATCTTCAGAAAGAACAAACGGCACTTCTTAGAAGCTAAACAGAATCCTGAACCTAACTTTTGAACAGAAACCAGACTATTACTTAACCCTTCAAAAATACCAGTATTCCCATCTGAAGTGGTCTCAGGGAGGGTGTGTGGTGGGGTGAAAACTCTCAGACAGCTTTGTGCATTGTACTATATTTATTTGGTAACACATGCTGCAGCCTAAGCTACCAAAACTAATACACCGATTATGCAAATATGTAAGCTAGTACACCTGCTTCCACCTCCCCTATGTCCACCTTATGCTAGGGGAGTAGATTTAAAAAAAAAAAAAAACAAACAAAAAGAAAACTCTACACACACTTTCTTCCAAGACAGAAGGGTTTTTTTTATTAGTATTCCTATTTAACTTCCTAAAAATGTGACAGCTCAGTATTAAACACTCATTCTGCATCTCCTCTACTGGTTTAAATGCTATCCTAGAGTTCTTGTAAGCTGCCAGGCAAAGATTAGTATATACTGTACATCCCACTTACCAAAAAGTAACTCCGTAATTTCTGCATTGACCTTGTTCCCAGTTCTAGTTAAGAGACCTGAAAGTGGGAACAAGGATCATATAAAAGTTAATGAAACTTTAGTTGGCAAGCAGGACACACAGCATCAAACTAACCTCTACTTCTGAGCTCACAAATGCTTATAAGGTAGTAGCTTGTCCCATGTCAACTGCTCCTTAGACAAAACAGAACTTCTGAAACATCCAGAAGCAATTCACAGTACTAGTAGAAAGAAGTCCCTTGCCAAGTCTTGGCTACTGTTCTGGAAGCAAAAGCTACAGGGCTTAAAAAGAAAAAAACCCAAACAAAACATCTAAGGATTGCAGCTAAAACATGCATTAGCAATGGTGCATTGAAACAAAACAGACCACTAGTTTACTTTCTTGAGTTTTATTAATCAGAACAAGCATTAATATACATTTTGGCACGCATTCTGCCAAAATAGCTCCATACAGTTTAAGTGAAGCATATGGTGACTAAATGGAGTCACAATTAAAATCAGCAGGTTGAGTTACCAAACACAACATGGAAAAAGGGTCAGGTTATAAAAGATTGATACAAGAAGTTACTGTATATCAACTTTAAAGGTTTTTGCTAACAATACCTGAGCTGAGAGCAGATACAGAAGACCTTCCCACTTCATGAGAAGCTACCCCACATGCACAGTAATGTCCTTTTAGTCCTTCTAGGCTGAGCATTTTAAAGAGCATCAATTAAACACTTCAGTTCTTTAAGCAGCCTGATCAACAGACTTCAGAGGCTTCTTTCAACTACTCTTCTTTCAAGCAGGTGTCTTTGTGTAACAGTTTCAGGTTTGGGGTTTGGTTTCATTTTTCAAAAAGAGACACAAGCTTTTAAGAGTCAGGACAGCATGCTGAGCACCTCACTTCAAAAACTATTCATGGCTACTAGTATCAGAAACCCAGAGACAAGAGAAAGGTCTTCTTTAAAAGCTAACCATTCAAGGTTTCAGTCTACTCTTAAGACAACTTCAATTATCTGGAGCCAGGCAGAGAGTTTGATAATAGAGCTCCTAACAGGTCCACAGCCTGATCAGACTGGTTCGGCTGGCCTTGCTGATGAGTCATCTTTTGCTCTTCCTTCTCCAAATAGTCTGGTCAGAGGAGGAAAACCTCTGACTTTTCTTATGCTGGCAACAGCAAAGATCTGTGGAAAGGAACCACCTCCTATTGACAGGACTTCAGAATCATCGCCTTCACTTACTTAGCTGAGCAATTCCAGAATTTCCAAATGGACAGGACAGCATTCTCCTGAAGTAAGACTATGACTGGAGTCAAGCACTGTATTTTGTAAAAGTGCTTTTGCAAAGCTGAGCAAATTGGAACCAAATCAGACATTCCTTTTAGTGATAAAAGACTTTACATGTAGTATGTGGTCTTTGACAGGTAGATTTTTAAAAACTAAGGCTAATGCTGAAATAAGAATCCTGGTACTGGTTGTGTTCATTAAGTATTTAGTGACCTAATCAGCACACATTTTCCATGCTATTGTTTCAGTGCTTCCAGTATTTTCAATATTGTTCTGGAACTCCTTCTAGGGGGAAGAACCAGGAAATTAACATAAACCCATCGTTTCAAACCCAATACATAAATAAGTCTGCTTTTAAAGACCAGATTTAAACAGTCTTTCAGAACTACAAGGCTCTGCATCTCCATTCTTCAGCATTTATTTCAACCACCGTTCCAGTTACACACCTGATCAAGCCAGGGCTGTTTACCATTTGAAGCAGTGTACAAGTATCAGCAGCCACCTTACCTGGGCCCATTGCTGTCTTTCCTCTTGGCCAAAACACTGCTTTGTTCTGTTTTTGCACCTCTGTCCATATGCTCACTGGCATTCCTCTCCACAATCTCTCCCTCGTCCAGCGCCCTGTGCAGGCGGTAATTCACCATCTTCAGAACGATGAAGAGAGCTGCTATCACCGGGCAGTAGACAGCCACGATCATCATGGAAGAAGGAAGGGCCTTTCAAAAGAGAGCAACCAAGAGTTCATGAACACCAGGTCAAACATTCATCAGAATATATAAAGCCATCTAGAGTATTAGTTTCTTTCGTACAAAAAAATATTGATCATACTGAAAACAAAGGTCAAGCTTTGTGGGGAGATTTGTTAGAAGTCTAGTAACAAAAAAAAAAAATGAACAGCAGGACTACAAAATACCAGAGCACCACAGCAGCATGCTAAGTAGAGCCACCACTGGAGCTTCAGAACCAAACTCAACTCTTCTTTTTCCAGGCTATTCAAATGTAAGACCTAGACTTGGAAACCTAAAGCTAGCATGTTTGTGTCACACCAAATATTTCTGATTAGTTGTGAGGAACAAAAAAAAGAGATGGGAAAGTGCTGAGGAACTTGAAAACTAAACCAAGCAGAGGGTATGACCTTATTCCAGGGCTAGTACACAGCACTAAACCCATTTTGGAAAAGCTAACACGAGTTTGATAAAATGGCAGATGGGAGAAAACCTGCTCAACTACCTGACATAGATATTTTGACTTAGCCTATCACCTTCCAACTACTCTTGCACAAGATACTGATCAGTCAGAAAAGCCAAACTTTTCCCTACCTGCATAAAAAAAAAAAAAAGGTTGTTTACATTTGTGGCTCATACATTTGAGCAGTTGTCCACAACAACCTGCAGGACCACATGCTGCAAACATTAGTTGTGCTAGACCCTTATGTGCCCATGGAGAGGCAGCCAACACGGAGGTTCTGAAGAGAATTTTTCAGCTGTGTCAAAGGTGTCCAGAAGCCATGTGAAAAACCTCAGTCCTGAATTCAACTTTTGAAATTGCACTCAGAGTTAAAACCTCTCATGCAACTGTTGCTGAGGTCCATAAGGCTTTCACAGATCAATCTCTTCAGCAGCAGATATTAAGTGCAACCTAACAGCTATTTAAAACAAGTGTTCAGAGTACTAGTTAAACTTCAGATTTCACTTCAAAGCTTTCACCCTTCTTCTAATTTACCTTTTGTTTATACTTATAGTTTTGCCATTTCCATAGGCAGTTGCTAAACAAAACGAGATATTAACTTAGTCTTCATCCACAGATAACTACTTTCTTCACAAAAGCAACAACAGCGTGTGTTCTCAAATATTTTGCTGCATCACCAACCTTTAACCCAATGATTGTCATTTGATATAAAATTCTAATAGGCATAAATATATAGGCACACACAACAATCAGTATTAAACAGCATTTGTTACCCAGCCTGAACATTCATTTAGTAGATGAGAAGAACAAATCAAAAAAAGAGATCCAGTTACAACATTAAGATTTCTACATATTCAAGAGCTTAAATCCTAGGAAGAACTGCCAGTGCTCAGTACACAGGTTAAGGCATGAGTTTAACAAAAAAACTGTTTGAAGGCACCACCAAATATAAAATATTGTATTAACAGCGCAGATGAAAGAATAAAGATTTCTAAGTATTGTATTGACTGTTGACTTCAGAGCAAAACCAATCCTTAATCTGGCTGCTCACTTTCTGGCAGTGAGCGAAAACAAATAATCAATAGAACATTTCTAAAGCCAAACAAGTATAAATAATTGAGTCCGAAATCTATCATTAGGCAGGTTACTAATTAGGATTTTTTTCTTAAAGAGAACAAGTTAAACCTAACTTTTCCTCCAAAACAAGTTGAATTAACACCTGATAAAACACTTGAAATAGGACAGGCAAACTCCACTGAGGTATGCTAACTCAGACTTTGCTTGCTGAGCTGGACAAGATCCTAAATGGATAGAGAGATTCACTGACCAAGCAACATCCCAGGAGGAGAAAGAAGAAACAAAGCTATTTAAAAACCAACATCAATAAGCACCCAGGAGCCACAAGGATGCTAATGGCATCCATACAACCCCTGAAGCAATGCTACAAGGGCTTCCTCAAAAACCTCAGAGGCAGCTAGCTCCCTGCAGGCAAGGGCAAGCCCGTTACCTTTGGCAAAACACCTATGAGCCTCCTGTACCTGCTAAGCAGTCTGCTACCCAATCAAACAACTTCAACTATCCTCTCTTCTACAAGTACCTCATGCTCAGAAGCCATTACCAGAAGAGTCAGCCTAACACTAGACAACAGAAGATCATCTAGAAAAGACATGTCTCTACTTTTCTGTCTGAAGAGCTCTTCAACTGCTCCCCTCCACTCCATCAGCAGTGTATCCATTTTACCTTGTGGAATGCAAAAACTACACATCCTGCTCTGCAAAGGAAAGCTGTGAGAACAAGTGGGGCAAAAGCCAAAACACCTCACAGAACTTGCAGCAAACCCAATAAAGAATTAAAGGGTGCTTTTTTTCTGGCATCCTGTTTCCACAGGATTGTGGCAAGCTAAAAATAAAGTATGTTAACTCTCTACTCTTCATTCTTCATATTCATTAGTAGTTACTCTTCTCTGGTTAGGACACAGTCTAGGAATAGAAGAAATTTTAGCATGTTGAGCGTACTCTGTCAGAAAGTATTCTTTGTTAAATGCTATGCTGCGGGTCAGCAGTGCTACCCACAGTACCAGCACCTCATCTGCCTTCCAACCTCAAGAAGCAGAGTTACTGCAACCTAAACTAAGTTACTGGTGTCTTCTCCATTTCCCTTTGCCCAGCTTAGAAGCATTCAACTTCCATTTGGGGGTCTTGTCTCCACAAGCCACAGTAAGTTAAAGTGATGCTAGTATTTTAAATTGCGCTTGACGTTTTACCACATTTGAGGAGAGCATAACTGAGAATCACATACAATACAGTCTTCAAGACTGGAGCACAAATCTAAATCCTACAAATTTACAGCTACATTTCATTTCAGCTCTTTTCACAAATACTGGAGCATTTTTTATTTGGCACAGGCTAAGAACCTCAGGTTAGAGCTTGTCAGCAGACACCAGCTGGCTACAAGTCTGTAGCTGCAACAGCATTTCAGAGAACATCCCCTTTTACTGCACATCTCTAGTCACTTCTATTAGCACCAAAAGAAAACATACACTGAGCAGCAGTGGAAATAATTTAAGCTCCTGTAGGCAAGAAGAAAGAGCTAGACATGACCATACAAAAACTGCCTGCTTTAAAATTACTTTCTGTTGAAAACTTCAGTCATCTAATGTCTGAACAGACCAAATTATTAGATAGACTCCTAACTGAAAGTATTTCCCTAATCTTAAAGGGAAGTTAAGTAGTACTTTCAAAGTTGGAGGGGGAGGGAAAGGACACTGATTTTCTACCACCTTTCCTTCAGGAGCCACTTGCCAAATTTAAACCTTTCAAAACGAAACCCATGCTATACACGTGGCAAAGGTAAGATGCAGGAACGCACAACTGAGGAGTGGGAACGTCCCTTCTAGAAGCTGCTGGCTGTTAGGTCAGCTCAGCCATATCACACACACCTTTTACAAAAGTGGGCAGAAAAAGCTTTATGCAGTCCTAGATTCCAGTGTTCAAGCTAGAAAAGAAACGTCAGACCACTAGTTATCAGACTAAAATATTCCTATTTGAACTACAAAGGTCACTGTATCTGGATTCAACATCTCAAACGCAAGTGCCAGGAACCAGAGGGAATTTCACTGATCACACACATTGGGCTGCACACTTATGAAGAAACAAAAACTATATGAATCTCACCCATATAGCTTTAGCTAGACACTAGACATGCAATTAAGTTTCCAGTTGCTTTTCCAAGAGAGACATGTAGGTGTCACCTGTCAAAAACGTTCACGGGAAAGTCTCCCAATCCAAATCAGATTGCAAGTCCTTATGTAAAAGTGCTTATCAATCATTCATTAAGCAGGAACAGTTGCCTCGTAAAACGTTTTTAAATTGAAACATTTTGAGGCCAGCATTTTATGGAAACGTTCATACTGGAGAAGAAGAAAGATGAAGAAACAGTAGATGCAGTTTTGTCACTACTTTTGTTTATGAGCAGCCAAAGCCCTTAGTAACTGCTGTTATCAGGAAGCTCATTCAGTTACAAGTTATCTAGTTTTTGAGGGAAACCTTGAAGCCTACAAACGAAACCTGAGTAGCCAAGAAACTAAATGTGGCTTAGAGCAATGTGGGATACCAGGCATCCTCATGGCATGTCCAACTTAAAATACTTGAATTCTTAGTTTAAGAAACAGCAACTATTTCAGAAACTTCACTGGAAAAAGACTACCATACAGAGCTACATTTATATGACCTACTTGTGTAACTATGTACACAAGACAGGAAATCAAGTGCCTATTAAGTGAACTGTCGCCTGAACGAGCTTGCCTTTGACAGACAAGTTCTGTAGGTACATACGAGCCCATCACCCCAAGCAAGGTACAGCCCTGGCTGCTCTTCAGTCACTGGCAAAGTTCCCCGAGTGCTGGAGCCAAGACTTCACCCCCTCCTGCGCACGTGGTGGGGCTGAAACAGCATTCCGACCAGGGGAAGTGCTTTGGCAGCCTCCTCTCCTCCCATCCCCCTTGCCATGCTGATGCATAACAGTGGCCTCTGCATTTAGGGTATTTTTTTTTTTCCCCAACTTTACCCCTGTATTTTACAACCTGGTTGTACGGTTTCCCTGTATTGTAGCATATTTTCTTCTCCCGACTTGAGTTTTGGATTAGAGTAAAAACATGGATCAGCTCTTACAACAGATAAGCAGATCAGCAAGCACAGTTGAGTCTGCTACTGAATACAAATATCCAAACAGGATAGATTTAACCACTCTAGAAAGCAGTATTTTTGCATGCACACTGCCAAGCCACAGATCCAAGAGTTCAGACTCGAGCAGCTTCACTCAAGCAGGTATTTCTCTTCCTCTACACCCCAATTCCTTCATTATCTACACTCTCCTTTCTGCCACAATTCCAACAAGGACATGTTAAGTGCATAAATGCACATAAGAAAAGTATTCCTATCTGTAATACAGACAGTTAGGTCTGTCTCTTCTCACATTTACATCTGGCTCTTCTCCTTCACACAGGGTACAGACC